AGGGTGCCGCTGCGCACCCCCCTGTATTTTTTTATTTTTTTTTGAATGTTTTTTTGAATTTTTTTTGAATTTTTTTTGAATTTTTTTTTTGAGGGGGGTCGGGAGTCGGGGTAAGGGGTGCCCACCCCCGGACCCCCAGACCCCCGCCGGGGCCCCGGGGCCGGGGCTCGACAACCCTGGAAACAACGACTGGACAAAAAAAAACAAAAACACCACACTTGACCGAACTCGAGGACACCACTTCTGTACCCACCAAGCCAGACCTCACAGAATCCGAAAACGAAGACTGGCCACGTGACCTTTTTTCAGAGGGCCTACCACTCTATGGTGCAATCGGAATGAAGCCTCCACTGTTTTTCTCTCTCTCTCTCTCTCTCTCTCTCTCTCTCTCTCTCTCTCTCTCTCTCTCTCTCTCGACAGCTGGTAGGCGCTCTATCCGCACTTCCGCCCTCTACCTTCCAAGCTCTAACCCGGTACGCCCGCTCTAGCTTACACCCCACCGCGGTCGCCGTGAGTAGGTGCGAAGGAAACTCGAGCCCAACGTCCGGGCTCACGATCTTGGCCGGAAGGGACCTCTCGTCTATTCTTTCCCTCTCTCTCTCTCTATCCGGGCACCAACCGCCCCTCCTAACTCAGGCGATGGTACTCCTTCGCGGCTGGCACGCCCGTTCCCCCCTTCGAGCTTGAACGCGGGTACGCCCTCATATGACGGCCCATTCGGCCGAACGAACGTCGCCCGGAACTGGAGCGCTAGTATGACCTCGTGTGATGGCCTGTCTGGATGAATGTCCGCGCCGAGAGAAAAACCCCTCCGAACTCGAGTACTAGCGCGACCCAGTGCGATGCTGAACAAGAGCCCAGAATGCAAGCGTTCGTACAACCTCTCACGATGCTCCCTCTAGCTGAACGGACACTCTGAATGGAGGTCGCTCTGAACTCAAGCGCTGGTACGGCCTCGTATGATGGCTCGCCTGGCCGAACAAACGCTCTGAATGGAAGCACTGTTATGACCTAGTGCGATGCTCCTTCTGGCTGAACGGTGCTGAGGTTGGTCCAACTCCTGCGTGACGCGGGGGATCGCCAGAATTGCCACCTGTCAAAATAAAATCTAACTCCTCTAAATCAAGAAAATTTCAGCAGCGCTTCCCGTAGAAAAAATATCTTTTCAGAAATGATATAAGTCCAAATATGAAGCCAAAAATAATCTTTGAGTTTTCAAAGTCCCCTTTTGTATAACTCCCTGAATTAGCAAAAATTTGGGCAGCACTCCCTTTAGAAAATGAGACTTTCCAGATTTTTACTACGCCATATATGAACCTTAGACAAGTTGAACTTTGAAAAGTCAAAATGTGATTAACTCCTTGGATTTGTAAAAATTTTGGCAGCGCTTCCCGTAGAGAAAGTAGCTTACCAAAATTTATACAAAGCCAAGTATAACAAAAGATCCCAGAAAATGCAAAAATTGATCTAAGTAAAAAAACTTTGCTCAGAAAATGCAGGAATTGAACTAACTCCTATCGCTCTAGCATGTGGCGAGCAACTACAGCAACTACCTGTCAACTGAAACTCACACCAAGTAGTAGCCTCACTCAGTCACATACAGGCCAACGCACAAAAGTAAGTACTCTCACCACCCCAAAGCATACCTGAATAGACCATAGTTCATGACCTCTCAATGCTTTATCCCTTATACCCACCTTACATAAGGCATAAAGCCAAGCCGTCTAATCTTATGGAATATGCCTGACTCAGCCATTGAGTATACACAAACAGGTTGCACAACTATTTTCCTCTTCCTTTTGGGCATATGACTAAGCCGTTCATCTTAGAACAAGGCTCAGCCGCCCCGAACTGTTTAATATCCAAATTATATATACCTCTTTGAGCTTGGTGTTCAAAAGCTGGGCATAGGACTGAGCCGTTCATCTTCGAATAAGGTCC